CATATCAACCAAAGATTAGATTAGCTAGATTATGGGTATGGAAGGCTCTAGCAGATTTGCTTCAAGGATAAAGGGCTCTTGGGAGTAAAGAGCCTGCCTTAAAGTCCTAAATCAGTATCTGAAACTAAGGGTTTCTGAATTGGATTCTCACTCGGTTAACAGTGTAATTATATAGGCACAGAGAGTTTAAATAGATAACCCTCTAGTTAGGTTATAGGTATGATATCTAGTGTAGAACTTAGTAATAAGCAAACTACTTAAATAGGCAACCAAAAGTTGTATGTGTAGCTAGTTATACTTTCTAAATATATATACGTTATGTAAAAACCATACTGTAAAAATTATAACTATAACTGAATAAAGGAATATGATAGAGAGGTTGCCTTAATATCAAAAAAAAAATTGTTTAGTAATGATGTATTATTACAGGTAAATTTACAAATACTACAAAGATTGTCTTTATTTTTTTTTGCTATATATGTATTCTATCAGATTCAATATCTAATATTTTATTTATTGTTCTTACTATTTATTCTCCAGCATATGCATTATATAATTGTTTTAAAATATAAATGTTTCCACTATGCAAATCTTATATGAGCGAAAATACTGAAATTATTTCTTTTTTTTTCCTTATAACAAAAAATTAGAAGCCACTTTTGGCAGTATTTGATACTTTAGCATATTCACGTAGAGTTTGTCATGCTTCAATAGTATTTATTTCATATTGTATAAACTCTTCATCTAATAGTCTTTGCAAATGCTTTACTAAAACTTGTTGTATGCTAAATTTTTTTAAGAAATTTTGATAGTAATAGCCAGTTTCTTCTCTGTTATCCACTTCTTTTAGAAATTCTGCTATAGTAGCTAAAGTAGAAGAGATATGTGAATTAGAATGAATAACTTGATATTGCATAGAAATGTGAAACACTGTTTGATATAGGTTATATGAGATTGGTTGATATGGTTGAAATATTTGAAAGGCCTAATTGTATTGTGGTGATGGTTGTAGTGGTAAAACCAATGATGATTGCAGCAGTTGAAATGGTGATAAAATTAATTGTGGTTGTATTTGTGGTGATTGCTGTAACAGTTGCATTTGTGGTAGTAGTTGTTGTATAAATTGTACTTGCGATTGTTGTGGTTGTTTAAGTTGTTGTAGTGATGGTGGTAATAGTAATACCGTATAGCACTGACTATAGTACCCCGAGTACTTTTTAATAAACTATCGAATTTCTTGAATAGTACCTACCCGGGTACTATTTACAGAGAGGGGTATACAAGTATGGGGGTATTTTGTAACAGGGATACTATAGCAGGGGGTCTTTTACATAGTTATAATAAAATTACTGTATAGGTGGCTTACAAAGGTGCCATGATGTAATTTATAGCATAGCTGCAGTATATGATTTACCAGTATATATCGATATACTTCGTAATTAAATATAATTAATAAATTAACTAATGATGCGTCATAAATTACATCATAATTGTATCAGTAAATCGCGATATAAAAGAAATCAAATTTTTTTTTTTTTTTTTTTTACCTGTTAACCTGTTAAAGTTATAATGGTACGCATACGTGGAAATAAGAATAGTGGACATGCGAGAGTAACAAATAAAACAAGACGGCAATGGAATGCACGTGAAAAACTTGCTATTGTTACATA